TTCCTCTTGTATGTAATTTTGTATAACCCTGAGGGTCTCCTTCCATTTCCATGCAATTTCCCTTCTCTCTCCCTTTCCCTCCCACCTCTCCTCCTTGTTTAATGTTTTCACTCTTATCCTTTGCTTTTCTTTTAGGCTTATCAGAAACATCTGAATTTGACCTCACCAGTAGGATACTTTAGACCATATTATCACTAAATCTTATGTCTGTTGCATGTGGATTGTGAGAAAAATATGATAAACTATATATTTGTATGTTTCTGTTAGATGTGATACTTGTATGTGTGTTTTGTCATTCAGAACATTCCATTCCAGTGATTCTCAGTCCACATGGTCTTTTTGTTCCTGATTTGTATATTTAGTGTTTACTGTTAATTTTTCTATTCATTTAGCAAACACTGAGCATCTACTCTGCATTGTTTTAGGCTCCCTTAATAGGAAATAAAATATATATATATATATATATATATATATATCAGTGCCCTCATGATAATTTAGGAGTAATAGATTTAATAGTAAGTTCCTAAATACTGTATAGCAATTCCAGTAGAATCAAGCACAAGATACTGAGGAGATCTGAGAGGGAGGCACCTGAATCAGATTAGGAATGTGAGGGAAGTCATCTTATAAGAGGTGAATCTAGAACTGGGGTTTTTAAAAGGTGAGTAAAGTAACTCATGAAATTACTCACCATATGGATGTTGGGTAAATGAATCAAAATTAGGTGAATGTGGCAGGACTTTTGTAGCAAGGGTACAAAGGTAGAGAAGGCATGAATCACATTCAGAGGCTTACAGTCAAATGTGGATTAAGAAAAGGATACAATTATAGTGCAGTAGGAAGAACTGGAGTATATTCTATCTCACTCTTTTGGATGAGATCTCAGTTTACCCTGCTTTCCCCTCTCCCTACAGTCTACCCTTCCCTGGAATCTGATGATGATGACCCTGCTCTGAAATCTCGACCCAAGAAAAAGAAGAATTCAGATGATGCCCCATGGAGTCCTAAAGGTGATCCAGTATTTTGTACCTTTAATTTTGTAGGTATGGTCAGGGAGGAAATAGACTGGAAGTAGAAGGGATATTTAATTCAATAAGACCCAGTTCAAGCTGGGCATGGTTGCACATGCCTTTAATCCCAGCAACTCAGGAGGCTGAGACAGGAGGATCCCAAGTCAAGGCCAACTTCAACAATATAGTGAGGCCCTAAGCAACTTAAGTGAAAACTGTCTCAAAATTAAAAATGCTGGAGATGTTGTTCAGTGGTTAAGTGCCCCTGGGTTCAATCCCTGGTACCAAAAAAAAAAAAGGCCCAGTTCAGACACTCATTTGTTTATTCAACAAGCATTTGTTATGTCCAGACAGATTGTTAGATGCTGGAGATAAAATGGTCAGTAATTAAACAGTTATATAATCAGTTCAGCAAAACCAGAAATAATGAGACATGCAGCTTACTTACTTTATGACTTGAGGAGAAAGGAGGAGGACCTTGAACAGATTCTACCAAGCAGACTAGGGCTTCAGAGAACATTCTGATATCATCATCCTAGCCCTCTGGTAATTTTGTAGTCAAGGAGGTAAATTATGCTGACTGTTGAGCTCTACAAAGTTCAAGACTCATCTTTTGAGAAGCCATCCCTGAGTATGATAGAATCATTATTGAGTTGAATATAGAAATTAGAGGGTGATCAAATAATTTTCTCTATTTCATTGGTTGGCTTGTTTTTACATTGGAGGATATACCAATGAGCCTTTGCTGCTTAATAAACAACCCAAAACTTAGTGGCTTAAAACAACAGTAATGGACCATTTTTCAGAATGATTCTGTAGGTTAAGTTGTTCTTTCATTCTGAGGCAGTTTGACTGGTGTTATAAAAAGATGTTCCTCAGTGTCTGGTACCTAACTTGGATAACTAGAGCCTTTTTTCTTATTGTCTTTCGTCCATCAGGAGGCTATCCCAAGCTTTCATAAGGTGGCAAAAGGGTTTCCAGCAGCAAGAAAGGACAAGCCCCAATGTATAAGCACTTTTCAAGCCTCTACTTGTTTCTTAATTGTTATTGTCCCATTGGCCAAAACAAATTATATGGCCAAACCTCAATTTCAGGGCTGGAGAAGTAGATTACACCTCTCAAAAGGGGAGCTCCAAAGTCACATTGCAAAAGGACACACACACACACACACACACACACACACACACACACACACACACACACACACACA